AGGTGCTGACAAGTGTGAGTCTGAAATTATCCTATGTGATGAAACAACTTTCTCATATCCTATGTGATGAAACAACTTTCTCAAGATTTCAATAGTGTCAAAGGAGATCAGTGTCAAAGGAGATCAGACACAGAAGGTTGTTTTTTGGAAATGCCACTGCAAAGTATCCAACTGCTGGGAAATATTTACAGATATTTACAAATATTTGTTGCTCAAGCCAAATGGGAAACATTCTTCTTTCACAAAGGATAAACAGTTAAGACAAGGGACTTTTGGTTTTAATTGTGTTTTAACTTTTTTATTATCGTGCTTTGAGCTTTTTCTTGTTTCAGCATTTTTGCAATCCGCCTTGGGTCCCCTCTAAGGAGCAAGGTGGAATGTTAAATCGAGAAAACAAGAAAACACAGCTTTCAAGCCTCAAGAGTCAAGGATATGGAACATTTGGCCTTCTAGATCTTTTAGTCTTCAACACTCAGAATTTCTTCTGTGACTCTTTTAAGACCTGATTCCTCTTTTTCTCTCTAGTTCATTCCACTTAGTGTAGGGACCAATTCATACAACACCAACATGGAATTATGATCCCACCTTAACCTCCATGGCTACATCCTATGGAATCCTCAAATTTATTGTTTGATGAAGATGAGACATGTTTCAGTCAGTGAATTTTCAATTGAAAGCTGGCCATATGCATGTGTGAAATGAAACAACCTGGTCAGTAAGCCTTTGTAAGAAAAGTGAACAAAAACATATTCAGCTTTCTACAGACCATTTGGCAGCTTTTTACAAAATTCATCCATGGATGACTTGTTTTCTTTCACCAGCCTCCGCTTTCCTTAAGATATCCATTTTGATGATCAAACTTTTACATTTTTGGGTTTTAATATGGTAGGCAAGCACGCTTTTCTCTCTGTTTTGTTCTTCATGCATGCTCAATAAGGGATTCTGGAAACAGCTGCAGTTAATCTTGCCTGCTGTAGACAGACACATAAAGCTGTAGTATGGTCTACTGGAGTAGAATCCCACTCTCTCTGCTCAAGCTTTATTGCATTGTTTACTACAGGCATTTTGCTTCAACCAAACACCAAAAGTCCATCTTTGTCCAGCCATTCTTCCCATCTCTCAATGCTGATGCTGCTTAAAAAACACATCCAGCTAGATACAGGATAATGAAGAAATGAGGATGGTGGAGTGAAAAGCCTTTCTAAAAGGGAACTTTGCTGTCATAAGATTTGTTAACTGAGGTATGCCTATATAGGAAGTAGGGATTCATTCTGTAGCAGGACTTAAATGATGGAACTCCCATCCATCTAAGGGAAATCAAGCTGGCTCCATCCTTGTTGAGTTGGAGATCAAAACTGTATTATTACATCTAGCCTTGGGTATTTAAAATATTTTAATGTGCTTTAAATGTTAAAAACATTTTCCTGTACATTGCTTTGGGAGCCTCGGTGGGCAAAAAAGCAATTAATCATTTTAATTAATAAATTATTGGCTCATTAATTATTTACCATTTTGTTCCATATTAAAGCAGATTAATTGTTGTTTATTTCCTGTTACGCATCTTATTTAAAAAAAAACCTCAAGAAATTATTATACAAACTACTTTGAGCATTATAAATAAATAAAAACAATGGTCTTATAACAATGCTACTCCAAGTGGTCCAGTGCTAATCCACAGCAAGTTTCTAGAACAGAAAGCAAATACAATAATAATATGGCACAAATATGGGACATTCCCCTGACACATTGGGGGAAAAACTGCCAGTCCATCACCTCAGATAATGTGAGAAGCATTCGGCTATAAAAACACTGGCTGAAAATTGTACAAATGGTTAGCAGAAAGATCTAAGATTTACAGGGAGGCTTAATAAATACAAAGGTAAAAGAGCCAAAAGATACTCTCACTTTGTCCTTCCCACAATAGGACAGGTCCTGGAGCTTCACATTTCCCAGAAACTCATTAGTGCAGAAAACGTCTAATTTGCGGTTATCTTTTTGCAGCCATGCAAACTCATCTGATTCTTGCCGAAATGCTCACTACTCATGAATACAGCCATTGTTTCAATTCCAGAAACCTTCAGTTTCTCATCAAGACCTTCAACATACATAGTACATATTTTGGGGGATGGAGTAGATGCGACTTTCCCAGGATTGCCTGGAAATGACAGGGAAAAAACCTGAAACCTTCTGCATGCAGATCTCTTGCTCTGCTCCTGAGATATGACCATTCCCTTATCATAAACCCAGTTCTCTTGGGAAAGCAGGAAGACTGGCACACCTGCAGATAGCAACAAACAGGTTATAGACTGCATGGAGAAATACACACCTCATGTTGATCAATTCACAGAGGAGGCATGCTAAGATTTCTGCATGCAAGTCTGGGGGGAATGAATCATGTCCCACAGCTCTGGAACAAAATCTACTTGAGGCACTATCAAATTCAGCACTGTAGCAAAAGGAAATGGGGCTACTATCAAACTTCAAGTGGCCTATAGTCCCATGGGTTCAGGTTTTATCCACTCTGTACATGGCCCAAACTTTGGTGGGCAGGTTCATACAAACTGGGTGGGAGGAGAGCCCACCTACTCCATTCTTCATAACATTGGGAGTGCAGAAAGGCTGAGAATCAGCCACTCCCCCAGGATGAGTCACAATTCCTTACAGGTGAGTCAGGCTGCCAGAGGACAGGACTCAAGCCACCACTTGATTCACCAGGTTAGAGAGCCTTCACCTCCGACACTCCCATTTCAAAGAGCCACTTACTGCTCGTGATTGTTGGGTCAATCCCTGAGAAATGAGTCAGTCTTTCTGCAACCTTGCACTGAAGGAGGAAACGGAACAAACCCAATCAGGAAAGCCTTGCAAAATTAAACAAAAATATTTTGAACATTCCAGCAACCCCTTAAACGCATCTTCCAAAATGCATCTAGGGATGACTGTTTTTCACCTTCCTCTGAGGATGAGAGATCATGACTTGCCCAAGGGCACCAAGTGGGTTTCCACAGCTGAGTGAGAATTTCAACCCTGGTCTCAAGAATCCTAGTCCAACACTCAAACCACTCTTTAGATGACACCACTCAACCACAGAAACCCGTTGGGTGATCTCAGACATACCATATTCTCTCATGCACAAGAGTGTTAGTGCCATAGGACTCTTGGATTTTTAAGCAGAATGTGGAACCCATGGGGAATTTTCAAGAACAGATTCAAATGGTATTGGAGCAGACAAGCCTCAAGAATGCCACTATATGCTGGTACACATGACTCACTAGGAAAGACAATGATTTTTGTTAAGGTAGAAAGCAGTAGGAAAAGAGGAAGACCGCATTCTCAATGGGTAGACTCAATCAGGGAAGCCATGGTCCTGAGTCTGAAAGACCACAGCAGGGTGACTTGGACGTCTCTGATTCATAGGGCTGCCAGAAGTTGAAGTCAATTTGATAGCAGTCAACAACAACTGGTACTGCCTTGGACCGATTTCCTCCTTGCATCTAGTTCTGGTCTCCAAAATACT